TTGAAGACCCTCCTCTCCAGTCTCTCACAGCAGCCCTGGCAACGGAGACTAACAGTGACAACATCTGAAATCCAGCACAGGGCTGACACTGAGCTGTGGCTTCCAGGACTGTGTCCAGTCCATGGTAACAGACACCAGGAACCCTGGAAATGCAGGGTTTCAGATTTACTGAAGCTTTTCTAGAGCTGGAACATCTCAGCCTCCCTGCCTGCCTCACTGTCCTTTGGAGCCATTGATTCCTAAAGATCCGGGACAGCATAGACCATGAACTCAGCTTCCTCTGTGTCCAACAGCATCTAGGATTGTCAGCAGTGAGCATGCTGAGAACTCTGGAAGCCTCCCCAGCATGTGCTTCCTGCACTAGGTCCGTTCTCTATTTATACTTAGTTCTCAGCCACATGGATACTTTTCTTGCAAGGACCCTATTCTTGGCCCTAGCACAGTGTGGCTGTGCCCCAGTGCCCACGGGCCTCCTGTGTGCTTACAGGAGGATGGAGAATAAATCTTTTTTGAACTTCCCGGACTCTTCCTCAGAGTCCTCCCTTCTACGATACTTGTCATCTTAGTCCTTTTCCATACAGGAGACCTTCATTTTCCTCCAATGGAATGAAGCAGAGTGTGATTTAATTTTTTTTAAGTCTCAGGGACAAAAATTAGCAAAGGCTAATTCCTGACTCCTTCCCCATGTCAAGCATGGGTGTCAATTGGGCTCCGCTGTCATAATCACTTAGGGACACAGGCGGGGGCTATGGGGCATCATCTCACAATTGTTGCTAGCCTGATGACTGAGAAAGAGGAATAGGCTGGGTTGTAGGACCTAAAATTCAGGGTTTTCCCCCCAAAGTGGCACATCTGCTCCCATCCCCTTGTCCAAAGCAAGAGACAGGGAAGCGAAGGGAACATGTGGGGCTGCCTTCTCTCAGGAGGTTTTAGCACATGTTCTCTGCCGACCATCTCACGCCTGGGAGAGTCACAGTCCCTAGAAGAGGGGGAGAGGTCATTTCAACTCCTCCCGAGGATGAGCCAAAAGATTTCCAACACAGCAAAAGAAAGAGAGTTGAGTTTTTCACCCAATTGGAGTCTTAACACTGCAAATGTCATCCGGGTTACAAGGGTGCAACAATGGACTGGGATTTGTGAAAGGCCTGTAGATGTGATCAAATTGTCACATCACTGACTCCACAGGACAGTGTACCTGCTCATCATTCCCTGCCTTCACTCTGACCAGAATGGGAATACTGACTTGAGCAAGGAAAATGTGGTGATAGCAATGGTGACTGGGTATTTTTCTTGCAAGTTAGCCCTGGCTAAGCAGGAACTTTTTAATGTGTCGTTCAGGGCCTAACAGTACTGCAATAAAATCAATAAATGCCAAGCATAAATGGCCTCAGAAGAACCTAAACAGCACCTTGTGCAATTAATTCTCCTGAGAGCTGCACTCTCAGAAGTGGGTGGGGAGTGCTCCTTTCCCCTTGCCCTGGGATAAATGACTCTCTCCATGGAGCTAATCTACTTGGTTCTGTTTTCCCTAAGTGCTTTGGATTTAAAATGCTTCTAAGAGCGTAGCTTAAGTTTCAGTCTTATAGATAAGTTGGATAAAAGGTGTGTATGCCCGTGTGGTTCCTCAAATAGGCAATTCACCAGAAAACAATTACATCAGTTTTTTTTTCCCGTGCTGTGTGACACAGCCAGCAAATGAACCAGTGACCATTTCCCCAAACAGATGAGCCTGAAACAAACCGATAAATTCTGTTCGCCTCAAAATGAGACTTGAGGTCTCAGAGCTACCATAACAGTAGGTTATCCTGGTCAACATTGCTGCATTCCTGGTTTGCTTTAAAAATCCATTAAAAATATA